AATGTACAGTATCATGTTTGATTACGAGACACTTTAAAAAAATTAATAAATACAATATGATCGCTAGTGGTTTATCTTTTTTTTTTTTAAAAGGGGGGAAGGAAAAGTGTAAAACAAAAACCATATAAGATGAAGGGCATTGAATTGAGAGTGACATAATCTCTAACAATGAAAAAATTCACTCCAAATTTTGGGGTTGTTTCACACAGTTTTTTTTTATAAAAAATGATGAAATGTATAATTGAAAGTCAATAAGTTGGAATCACGTGAAATGTGTGGTTAAAATTGAAATTTCACTCGTTGAACAGTTGCCGAAAGTTTTATCAAACAAGCATTCAAAGAAAAATCCCAATTCAAATTGTAATTACTAAATAACTACCCACTTGTTAACATTTGAACCAACAATTAAAATAGACTTAGAAACTTAATTCCTCCCTAATTGTTTTTCTCCACTACTTTTTGGAATGAAGTCCCCTGGTCATGTGCTAATGATAAACCGCTTTAATTAAAAAGAAAATTTCACTGATTTTAAATTCTAATTTGAATTGAACTCTTAAATCAAAAAGAAAACTTCACTGATTTTGAATAATTAGGACCATAAACTTCTTCTTAAATTTTAATTTAAGTAACGAACAAAAAATAATATTTTTGGAATAAACCCATTGTGCAAATTCATTTAAATATTTTAATCCTTATTTGTTTAGGAGATAGTTTATTTTTACGCAATATTATTAAGAGATTTATTCTGTTTAGATGACACAAAAATTTCCTTAAATACTTTATATATAGGAAATTAAATATCAATATATAGACAATCAAAATAATATGGAAAGCTTATTTTTATTTACAATAACATTGACTTAAATCACTCCATCTGAAAACACCTATCAATAGTACACCTATTAACTTTGATACACATCCCTTGTGTGTATGTAAACATGATGATAAAAGAATTTAAAAATGACATTCAAAATAAAATAATCATGCAAAATATTAAATAATAAAGAGAAAATAGAGAAGTCAATACACCTGTGTGTATTTCATTGAGAGCAATCACATGGAGAGTGAAAAATCAGTTGCCTTGTAAATGGTTCTGACGTCGACGAACCTACACTACAATATATCAACTCATCTATAGCTTGTGAAAAATGTTATCTATCATGTTCTATAACACTTTTTCGTAATGTTCATTGTAGGTGGTGTTATTAAAAGTCATACATTTATTATAACTTTTTTTATTGATATTATAAAAAAAATTTCAATAGCATTCTGTTATCAGCATGATTTAGGTATTATAGCATTCTTTTCATGTAATCTTTTTAATTTGATAGCATTTTTTTGGTTATAATTTTAGCTTTAATAACATTCTTTAATCATCATGATTACATTTTCAAAAGTATTCTTGTTTCATAATAATTTTTTTTTAATATTTATGGCATTTATTGAATATAATGTATCACTTCAATAGCTTTTTTTTCTATTGTAATATATACACATTAAATAGCATTCGTAATTCATTGTCAAATGTAAATATTCAATAGTATTAATTTTTGACTAAAAATATGAACACCATTAATCAGATCAATAATAAATTCTAAAACATGCATCAATATTTTATTGTAGAAATGCACAAGTGTAGCTATTCAATAGAAAATTCAAATTATGTTACATCTTTGCATCAAATACTAATGGCAATATATGTTTGAAAAGATAATAAACAAAATTAAATTAAAATCATCTCATTCTAGTTTTCAAATGATAATTTCTTGAACTCTTACAACTTGTTTGAAATAAACAACCATCAAACCAATGACGTATTTAAATATGAAAATTAACAAAATGAAACAATTTATTTGATTGTAAAAATAATGTGAATAGTCAAAACTCTAATCCGTGACTCAAGATATAAGCATACGTTTCTTTACACAGATTATCAATAAGAATAACAATTGGAGATTTACTGTGCTGCCAACAATATTCAGAGTTACCTGAAATGAAGCATATTTTCTTTTTTTTAATTGCGATAAATGGTGCGGATTAAGATTAGATTTTTAGTAGATTGTGATAGAAGTTTTTGAAATGTGTGGTTGAAAAATCGTGGGAGTCATGGAAGATGTAGTTAATATTGAGTGGTTGACTTTTACTTAGATTAAAATTTGATTTTAATCCGAAACAAAAAGGGCCTTAAAAATATTTCTATTTCATATTTTCTTTTCTTGATTACGATAAATACATGTTTTATATAATTTATATAGCTCATAAGAATGGGACACAAAAAGAAATGAGTTCGGAGCCTTGTATTGTTAATCTTCTCATCTAAAAACTTGAATATTCGAAGACACCTATGAAGTTAGAAACCTCTCAAGTCCATCTGGGAACAACCTTACTCATTAACCAATTAAAGAACTTGAAATAATGATCTCCAGATTGCTAATTACATTTTAATTTACCTTCTGTTGATGACTCAAGAATCTCAAATCTACCTTATGAAAACCATTCATCAATCCCATGAGCTTTCCAAAAAACATAGAGAATAATACACAGATTTTATCATTAATGAGCATATTCATAAGCCTTGGGGAATGTTGAATAGTGCTAGTAAATTAATTGATAGTTAGCTTGGTTCTTACTTTAACTTTTGAAATAAAGTAACCGAGCTCGAATGTTACATTCATTTGGGATCCATAGAGGTTGATGTGAATCTAACCAAGTTTTGGACTGACCTAAGGTCATACAATGAAAATTTGGACTCTTCCAAAGGGTGAAAATGGCTATAGACGTTCCTAGTTCCTACAGGATAACTAGCCATGTCAATGAGCGGAGCCGAGCCGCGAGTCGAAACTCAAAGCTCAGGCTTGGCTCTAGCAAAACAGGTTCGAACTTTTTTGGGCCGGAGTCGAACCGAGCTAAAAATTTTAGGCTCGACCCGAGCTTTCGGCTCAGGCCTTTACGTGCCAAGCCAAACCCGAGCTAGGCTGGCTCGATTTTATTATTATTATTATTTTTTAAATTTCTTTTTTTTCGTGAGCAGTCACATAGCTGCCTGCAAACGCATGCAGCTAAATTAAATTTTTTTTTATCAAAAATTCGATTTTAATTTTCACAAAACGGGGGCTACATTAATTTTTTTTTCCACATCTACGGTTCCGATTGTTGAATGGAACGGTTAAAGAAGCGTACATTTACGTTAGAGCTGCAATTATACCCAAGTTTTACAATAATGGAGAATGAATAGAAGGAAGAAATAAACTCAAACCTAACTAGCATCCACCAAACTACTTTTATTTATCTTTACTCTTACATTTGTGACACAATATTTAATTTTTGCTCCATTGATTATAATTTTTTCCATTGTTAGTGCTAGAGAGCATCTGTCATGCCAACCTTCTGTTTGCTGTCTGATGCAGTTTCTAAATGGTTTTTTCGATCGTGCCGTCTGATATGGAATCCCCCTCTTATGATTTTTCAGACGTGGTATGAAATCTCCTTTTGTTTGACCTAGATTTTCTCTTTACATAGTCAACAGTATGCCTTGGAAATTCAATTTAATTTCCCAAAGTGCCCTTCGATTTCAAGAAAAAATTACAATCATGATCTATCACGGAGTCAATTGTGGGCACATTATGCATCGTTACGACCATCAATGACAACCAGGGGAGTCGGACAAAACTCTCGAATCAAATTAAATCGAACCGAACGGTTTTTCTTAAATTAAATATCCGAACGGTTTGATTCGATTTTCGGTTCTAGACGAAGAACCAATAAGAACAGAATTTTCTTATTTTTTTAAATTATTTTTATCTTAAATTAGTCAAATTATTTTATTTTTTCTAAATAAATTTCCTAACTAATTAATTTAGTTTAAATCCAAAATATGATTTTATTATTTCTAATTTCCAGTTAAGCCAAATTTAATCAAATTTACCTAAATTTTACAAATCTTTTATTCTATCATAGTATTGTTTCTGTCGTTCTTTATTATGAACTCGTCATCTTCCTCTTTCTATGATTTTAAAAGTTAAATCTATGCAAAATTCAATAAATAGAGATGTAAAAGATATCACGAGATTGAACTACGTTATTTTGTAAGAGTTAAGATTGAACAGTCATAATCGAATTAATGTAGCGTTATTGTAAATATAAAAATAATAATTATTGTACGGAACTCAGAAATCGAATAGAACTGATCCAAACCGAATCAAATCGAATTTGTTTTTATCTTGTACTTTTTACGGCGTGCAAACTTTTATATATATATTTTTTAATGAAAAATCGTAAATATTTTTCTATTAATCTGTACGTCATGCTTCGGAATGGTAAATATTTAGTTTTTACGGTGTGCTCATAATTTATGCCAAAAAAAAATTAAAGTAATCAATGATTTAAGACACATTTGTG